CTTCAACGCCCAGAATCCCCCAGCCAGGATGCTTTAAGAGGGGTGGACTTCCACTCCCAGAATCCCCCAGCCAGGATGCTTTAAGAGGGGTGTATTGCGAGTCCCAGAATTCCTCAGACTGCATGCTTTAAGAGGGGTGAGCTTTGACTCGGAGCATCCCCAGCCAACATGCTTTTAATATGGATGGGCTTCAACTCCCAGAATTCCCCAGCCGGAATGCTTTAAAGATACTTGGACTTCAATACCCAAAATTCCCCAGGCAGTCTCCTTTTTAAGAGGAGTTGGGCCTCTCGCTGGTTGGGGAATTCTGGGTATCGAAGTCCAAGCATCTGCCAACTTTGAGAAGCACAAAGCCTTTACAATGATGATCAACCAGGTTGCGGGAACAAAGGCACGGTCAATCGGCGGCACTGCATCCTGCAACGACCACGGCCTGTCATTTACTAATTCAGCTCAACCTGGAAATCCCACCACTCGGCGATTTTTTTTTCTTCCTCTCCTCCACAGAGGTCGAAAGCATCCCCGTCTTGGCGGCCTTCCAGTCCTCGGCGGGCTTATACCAGACCCTGGATGACTTTTACCGAGAGTTGCGCGGAGCGGACTTGAGACGCTGGGCGAGTTTCTTCTCCGCTGGGGTGGAGATGGACGACTTCCGAGAGGCGCTGGAGGAGCTGCGGACACTGTCCCTTTGCTACCGGAAAAGCAGCCTGGACGAAAACTCGGACGACGATACGGACTGAGCCGGGTTTTTCCGAGAGGCCGCGGACCCTTCTCGGCGCCCGTTTGAAACCAGAGAAATAAAATTTGCCGAGGACGCCTCTCCTCCTTGGCGTGTTTTTTTGAGGGATGGAGGGAGATTTTGGTTTTAAAAGGGCGGATGAAGGAATACTCCTTTGGTCCTTTTTGTTGCCAGCAGAAAGAGATGGGGAAAGCAGCGCATTCCTTAAATGTTTCAGATAATCGCTAGGCAGCCGAAGCTGTTGGCGCGCAAGATTATTACCGGAGAGCATGATTGGTGACTCTTGGCTATGGATGTCTCCCATTGGAGGATATACATCCAGGGGGTGGGGTGAGGGAGAAGACCAGGGTTAAGGGGGAAATGAAGGATGTGTCGTAAGTCGGCTGCACCCAGTTAATGCTGACATGGTCACTCCTAATAAATCAATCTTTTTTACTCTTGAGAGATGCGGCTAGAGACTTACAATTTGAATGAGGGTGCACATTGGAGCCCTGACAACTCCATTTCAACGTCCTGCTTTAATTCTTTTTAAGATACCATCACTCAATAAATATTCGGCTCCCCACCCAGCCATTAATTTATACATTTCTTAGTTCCAAAAAAAAAAAAAGATATATTTACAGATCCAAGAGAGACGGCAGGCTCCAAGCCGCCCACCTAGTGCAGGGGAATTAGAAAACCACCCAATCTCCGGTGTCCTGCCAGGGGGGGAGTCTCAGGGAGGGGGGGGGGGTCAAACATACCCCCCAAACCCCCCCAAAAGTTTTCCCGGCAGCCTTTTTAAAACCCCGTTTCTTCCCGCTCGTCCTCCGAGAGGATGGGGTCTTTGTCCGAAAGCTGGTCGGCGTGGCTGGAGCTCATCCCGTCTTCGTCGTCATCCGAACTGACGTCGCAGGCCGTGTGGAAGAGGGTCATCAGCTCGCGGAAACGGTGAGCCACCTGAGTGGGGAGAGCAGCCGTTATGAGAGTGGTTCTCCGCCATTGGGAAGATGGGGGGGGGTCTGCGGGGGGGGGGCGGCTTCGGCTACCCAGAATTCCCCAGCTTGGCTGGTGCAGACTTCAATTCCCAGAATGCCTCAGCCACAATATAGGGACTTCGACTCCCAGAATTCCCCAATTGCACGTAGGGATGTTTTTTGAGTCCCAGAATTCCCCAATGGCATGCATGGACCTTAACTCCCAGAATCCCCCAGCCAGCTTGTGGAAACTTCAACTCCCAGAATCCCCCACCAGGAGCTTCATTCCCGCCAGAATTACCTGGCTTGGCTTGTCAAGACTTCAACTCCCAGAATCTGCCTCAGCGAAGAATTTAAGGACTCCCAGAAATCCCCAACGGCATGTATGGACCTTAACTCCCAGAATCCCCCAGGCCAGTCTCTGCCCCCTCTGGAGAAATGCTCCACGCTGCTCTAAACACACACGGAGTGAGCCGTGCCTTCTGGGAACTGAAGTCCACGAGTCTTAAATGTTGCCAAGTTTGGAGAGCCCCTTCGACCCGCCCAGAAGACGCAGGTGAGCCACGTGAGGGTGGAGGTCCCGAGAGCCCCGGGAGAAGGAAGGCCCACCTCCTCTGGGGTCTTGTTGCCCAGCTGTTTGGAGACAGCGCTGAAGGTCTGCGGATCGGCCCCTCGCTCCTGGCAGGAAGTCAGGATTACGCGGTCAGCCTCCCTGAGAAGAGGAAGGACGGAGGGAGGCCATTTAGACGGATCTCATCCGCCCACAAAAAAAAACCCGTTGCTTTCCCTTCATCCGGTCTGAATTCGGACAACCTTTATGTTCTGACCCAGGTTTCCAAGACCGTCATTAAGCACACGCTCAGTTAAAACCACGCTTGTTTTAGTTCAACGCTGGGAATTATGGGCATTCCCAGCCGGTAATGAGTCTCAAACAGTCCCTCGAGATAAGCACCCACCTTTCTCTCCTTTGAATGGCTGCCAACAACTAAAGTGCCAAATGAACTATTAAAAAAAACAAACCAACCGAAGTACAAAGTCCACACCGAGCTTCAAGGATTAATCCGAAGAGAGTGAACGACCTTGCTTCCTGCAAAGGTTTCTTCACCTTTGCCTGTCCTTTAGACCTTATGGGAGGGACAATCACCTCCCAGCCTTACTCCTGAGTTGCTCTTGCCTTCTGGCAGCTCTGCGCACACGCACGCTGGGCACAGCAAACCAAGGGGTGGGGGGTTTGAATCCAGCCCCCTCTCTCTGCTCCCCCCAAAGGACCCTCTGCGAAGGCAAGCGCCAGGAAAAGGAGGAGGAGACCCACCTGGTCCATAAGACAACCTTCTCCCCCGTAGAGCTGAGCTTGATGTTCTTGGCGCAGACCGTGGCTTCGATGGTCCTGGGCTGCAGGTCTTCTCCCGCCACGGGGCCACTGCGATCCGCCCCGGCTATGACGGGGGCCGACTCCTCTTCTTCCGTGGGTGAACAGGCGTCCCCTCGCTTGGCTCCTTTTCCTGTTGGATGGCCGGCCTGCAGACTTGCCCCCGAAGTCTTAGGAGGGAGGCCTTTGGAGGGCGCGGGCGACATCTCCCTGTCTTTGGGTTTTGTAGTCTCCGAGGGGGACTGGCCGCCCGGCTCCTGGAGACTCGGCCGAGAAGCCAGAAAGGTCCCAAGTAAGGATGGAGGGGAATTAGGATCCGGCCTGGCTTTGCTCCCCGAACTGTTGCGGTTGAGGGCAGGAGGGGCGTCTCCCCCACTCCTGGGGCCCAGTTCCACTTCTCTCTTCCTCTCCACGGGGCAGAGGCTGCTTTTGAGGGGATGTGGTTTGGGGAGGGGGGCCCCCTTCGAGGGCGGCAGGGGAGCCGCAGCGGGGTTCCTGGCAGGATCGGCCCCGTTGGGAGGGCAGGGAGGGGCAGGGGGAGGAGAGGGCTCCGCGGTGGTTTTGCCAGCAGGCGGGGGAAGCCCCTCAGGAGGTGGATCTCTGGACAGAAGCAGCTTCCCTTCCGGACGAGCACCTGGGTGAAAGAAAGAAAGAAAGAAAGAAAAAAGAAAGAAAGAAAGAAAGAAAGAAAGAAAGAAAGAAAGAAAGAAAGAAAGAAGGAAGGAAGGAAAGAAGGAAAGAAAGAAGGAAGGAAGGAAGGAAGGAAGGAAGGAAAGAAAGAAAAAGAAAGAAAGAAAGAAAGAAAGAAAAAGAAAGAAAGAAAGAAAGAAAGAAAGAAAGAAAGAAAGAAAAAGAAAGAAAGAAAGAAAGAAAGAAAGAAGAGAGAGATGGGAGAGGGAGGAGGGTGAATCCACCTGGGCCCAGGAGGTGATTTTCCCAATCTGTTTTCTAATTCCTGAGCTAGGGGAGGGTGGGAGGAAGGAGGCTGGAAAAGAAGGAACGAAGAAACAGTGAGGGAAGGAAGAGGAGATGGAAAGAAAGAAGGAGGCTGGGAAAGAAGGAACAGGGAGGGAGGGAAAGAAGAAGGAAGGGAGGAGAGGAGGGAGATGGAAAGGAGGAGGGAGGGAGGGAAGGAAGAAATAGGGAAGGAGAGAGGAGGGTTGGGATGGAAAGAAGGTGGGAGGGTGGGAAGGAAGAAATAGGGAGGGAGGGAAGGAAGGAGGAAGAGCGGGGAGGAAGAAATGAAGAAATAGGGAGAAAGGACAGGGGGAAAGGAATGTAAAAGAAGGGAAGGATAGAAAAGAAAAAAAGAAAAAGGGAAGGGAAGGGGAAGAGGGGGGACGGGATAAAGAAGGAAGATCGAAAAAGAAGGAAAAGAAAGGAAAAAAGGAAAGGGAAGGGAAAGGAGATAGAAGGAAGGGGAAGGGGAACTTTCCTTCCTCCAAAGGGACCCTTTGCGTCTGGTGGGACAGCTTCCCCCTCTCCCCCACCCAATCCAGCCTCTCATCCTGCAGACCCCCCTTCCATCATCCCACCGCCTCTTCTTCTTCCTCCTCCCCTCCCCGACGCACCTCCTCCTCCTCCTCCTCCTCCTCCTCCTCCTCCGGCAGAGTCGCTGCCCTTCCGGCCGGGGGCGGCTCTGATCCGGCCGCCAGGGACGGCTTCCCCGTCGTCTCTCCTCTCCGTGGGGCCTTCGGGGGTCTCCTTCCCTTCCGGCTGAGGGCTGGGCTCCCGCTGGGCCCGGCCTTCCGCCAAACACTCGCCCGGCTCTTTGTTCCTGGAGCCTTTGGGGTCTCCCACCTGTGGTGGGGGGGGGGGGGAAAGGCCGAGCGACACCCGTCAATCTTTTCCTGGGGATGAGGGGGTGGGGGCGCAGCTGGCCACGCCCTTCCCCCAATTCTCTCACTTGGCCGGTTCGGGGACCCTCCAGAGGGGGCTGGGGGGGGGGGTTTCTGCCTCCCCCCCTTCCCCGAGGCCCCAGAGCCCCCTCCTCACCTTGCTGCTACAGTGGGCGCAGCTCCGTCGCTTGCTCCGCTTCAGCCGGAGGTCTCCGCTGTGCTCATGGCAGGAGCTGCACCAGTCCTTCTGCCCCTCCGGCCACTCCGACTCCTGAAATGGGAACCCCCCACCCCAGTCCAAAATGAGTCCCTCAAGCCACCATATCTGGGGATGGGAAAGGGGGGGTTTGACCCCTAAGAGCTGGCTCCACTCCAGTGAAAAGCGTCTACACGTCGTCGTCCCCGCTTAACAACCCCAAGTGGGACTGTCTGTCTGTCTGTCTGTCTATCTATCTATCCATCCATCTATCATCTCTCTAATCTGTCTATCTGTCCATCTGTT